ACACACGTCTGGGAGGGCACTGGCCCTTTACCGTGGAAACGGCTCTCAGCCTGCGTTCCTTTGGGACAGACCTGATGGCGTTTCCAGCTAGGAATGTGGGGTTTTGTGTTTGCCCGGAGACAGGGGGCTGGAGAATGGGGCGCAGCCGCGCAGGAGGTTTCTGTTCCCAGATTCCTGCTCTTCGCTGGAGGCTGGAGGGCAGGGCGCTGCCCCGTGCAGGGTGGGGGGTAGTGGGTGCGGCCAGGCAAGAAGATGCCTGCAAACCCAGAGATAGCATCAGCTCCCGGATAGGACACTCAGCTAGGGTGGCTCTGGAAATAATTTCCTAAAGGTTAGATGAAACGGGATCGCTGGGGATTTTGCAGTGGTAATTGTGGGGCGCGTCCGGAACACTCGTGTGAAACCCCCAGTTTAGAAACACCTCCAGTCTCTGTCCAGTGGGGTAAATTAAGAGCCCCTCTGACCACACCATGTCTCTGTTTCCCCTTGACTCATCCGGCCACCAACTTTTCAGCCTGATGTGTTGGCATCCCCTTGAGAAGCACAGTTTTCATTTTATAGATTCCTTAATGGGGCTCGAGAAACAGTCCCGTGTTTGAAGTGAGCTCTTCAAAGCCAATCTCCAGCACAGCCCTGAGACTCCACCTCAGCCCCCATCCCCCACCCCGCCCCGAGCTGTGTCCTGGGTGGAAGGGTCTTTCCAGGTGCACTTTTCTCCCATGTCTGCACCCTTTCACCTCTGTAACCTGCGACAGTTCCCCATGACTCCCCTCCTCTTCCGCACACAAAGAAAAGAAGAAAAAAGGAAAGGGGGGAGATGCCTAGCGGAACAGAAACTGTTAGGGATGGTGAAAACTGATTCGCACCAGTTCAGTTGCTGAGATGTCTCTACCCCGTTACAACTACTAAGATTCTTTTAAATATGTGCTCAGTATTGTCCACCATATAAAACCTGCCTTGGGAATTGCATTGTTATCTATTAAATATTAGAAATAGTATGTAATTGGACACAGTTAACCTACCTTTTTGCTAAAATGGCTCTAGTTCTAAAGGAATTAAAAGTGTTGTTGTTTTATAGCATACCATACTTTTCCCCTGGGACTATATGAATTCTGCCCGAAACCTATGTTGACAAATTGGCATTCTACCTTTTCAGATTTTAGGGCATTAATTAAAGAGAATGTGTAATGTGACTCCTTTAGCAGAAAGACTTTTTTTGTTGTTCTTGATAACAATGAACATAGTCATCTTTTTAAAATAAAAATGGGTATAATACTTCCTGTTATTTTTTGCCTTGGTGAAATAAAGCTTAAGGCAAATAAAGGAAGTAAATGAGAACTAGTTTATGTTAAAGCCACGATCGTAAGGAAGTCAGAGTTTTAGTATATATTTAGACCGATGTACTTAGATCAGCGCAATCAGCGCATTATCCGCTGCCTTTTCAAAAGGAGATTGCTGCTGTTCACACTGAGCTACAGCCCGATCCTGAATCACCTTCTGAATCACGCATGCCTCTAAGCCCATGCACATTTTTGGGCTGTGTTGTAATTCCCTTGGCACTGGGTATTCCATATATGGCACCTGACTTGTGGTTAATCATCCTTTTCATGTAACTGGAATCCCATTTACCCAGAGTTTGTTAGAAGGAAATTTAGTGGAATCCTCTCAGCCCTGAGAATACTCAGGTAAATCTTACAGGTTACCTTTGAGATGTTAAGAATTTGAAAGACGATATTTCCACTTTGCAGAAGGCGGGGTACACAGAACAAGTTATGAATTTAAAATTCCTTACTATTATGCTCAGTCAAGACAATGTCTTTATTTTTAAGACATCCCATCAATTTCAGTTCCTTAAGCTTCTTTGTCCTTCATGAAAAAGGGTGTTCTTTTAGGAGCCCACCTTGTACGTTCACTGTAAAACTGAAGAGCAGGCAACAGTGAAGCGATCTCAAATAGCATCTTTAGTCTTCACTCTCCTTTTGGCATTAGATTTTTCTATCAGTATTTAATGATTTGTATGATAAGCTTTGTATCATACGATTCATAAAATTGGGCAGTACTGTAATATGAACCAAGGCAATTTATTTTCCCAGACTACAGTAGATAATGCTTTATATTACCATTTTTTAAAATTTAAATTGTTATACTTTGATTTAAAGTTGTTTGCCACTCTAGGTTATATAAACCAGATATTCAAAGTTGTCCTGAAGGGTTCTCATGAAAAGAGAGATTTTGTAACTCCAATAGCCAATCCATAATTGACCAATTTGTAAAAAAGTCTTTTTGAACATTGCAGTTTTTATTGGGCACTCTTTTATATAAAAGTTATTTTAAAAATATCTTTAAAGGTCAGTACTTCACCATTGCGAATCTGATTATGCCTTAACATTTTTTTACTTTATTTTCAACAACATATCCAGTCCCCACACATATAGTATCAGATCACTTTTACTTTCAAGAAGCAAGAAATAACTGAAGTCTATATACGAATTTCAACCCTCTAAAAAGATATGTATTAAAAATGACATTAATGAATTAATTGCATATTCTTTCTAATGAGGTACTATACAGCAATGAAAATGAACTCCTGCCATATACTCAGCATGTATAAATTTCACAAACATAGTTTGAGCAAAGAAACCCAGTGTCCACAACAAGCATGTGGCTGCCTACATTTAAAAGCCCAAAATTGGGGTAACTTAGAGTCTCGCGAGAAGCGCGGTTATAAAAGCCCAAAATTGGCAAAATACACCTGTATCTTCTTGGGGAGGAGAGGAAATGCAATTGGAAAGAGGCTTTGAAGATAACAGTGATGTTTTATTTCATAACAATGAAGGTGAATGTTCTAGTTTTCATTTTATTATTTTAAAAAATACCTATTTATGCTATATGTAGTCTTCTGTATTTAATGTTTAGAAAGAACATTGAAACAATAAACAAGCAATAGAGGGAATGAACAAAGCCAAAAGTTCTATGAAAATATAAACTTTGCTATGATTGAGCAAGTAAAAAATAGAGAGGCACAAATCCAACAATATTAAGGTAAGAAGGAAGCATACTTATCAAAAGAAGAAATGTTTTAAAAAATAGATACTAATATTAATAGATTATTCTAATTATTTTGAAAACAGAGTTGGGCAATTTCTTACAAAATTCCAATTGCCAAAATTGACTCAAGGGGGTATACAAAATCTAAATAGACTTAGAACCATTAAAGGCATTGGATTAGAAGCCAAACACACGCCTTCATTCACATCCATCAGGCCCAGGCCTGTGACAGGTGAATTCTTCCATAGTTACATGGAACAGGTAATTTGTACCTTATGTAAGTTATTTCAGAGAACAGAAAAAAGTTACCTCACTTAATGAGGATTGTATGAAGTTGAAAAGTAGTAGCTTGGTCTTATTTATGGATATATACTTAAAATACTAAAATAAATAGCAGGGAATGGAACTAATAATGTCTTAAAGATTATCATGTCCTATAAGGTTTATCACAGGAATGCAAAGATGGTTTCACCTTAGAAAATCTATTATTGGATTTTAACATAGTAATATATCCAGAGAGAGAGAAGAACATATGTTCATTTCAAAATAAGTAGATAGCTAATTCTGAGCAAGCTAAGGATATAAGGGAATAACCCTTCTTAATATAATGAAGCCTACTTAAAATGAATGAATGTGTGAATGAAAGGAAAAGAGACATACTCAAAATTAATGGTGAAATGCTAAAAACATTCTCTTTAAAGTTAGAAACAAACCCAGTTTGGTCACTATAACTGTCTTTATTCAGCAATCTACTGGAGGTACTCACAAGCACACATTAAGATAAAAATCTAATTGCTATTTTACCTGCTGTAGGATTAGCTTCATGGGAGACCCAACACTATCTTGACAAACTACTAGAGCTAATTAAAGTAAGCAAGTTTTCTGGATAAAAAATCTAAAAGGATTTTGATCAGCTGATCATGAAAAAATTGTGGAAGAGTAGAAAGCTGAATAAAACTAACCAGATGACAGGGATTGAGGTCACTATAACTAATACCATGTTTGTTTTGGTCTTTGGGTCCCTTGTATTTCCCCAAGGATTAATGTTGAATTGCTGCCAATAAATAAATACATACATACATAAATAAATAAAATAAAGCTATTTGGGATTTAGATGGAGATTGTATTGCATCTATAGATGTAATTTGGGACTATGTCTTCTGAAGTATGAAGATGACATATCTGTTTTGAAGGGCATTGTTTGCTTGTGGTTTCAGATATTTTTTATTGCTAGCGTACAGGAATGACATTGACTCGTATATTTTGGTCTATGTTCTGCAAACTTTCTCAACTCATTTATTATTATTATTTTGGGGTGGACTTCTTAGGATTTCCTATGTACAAGGTCATATCATCTGCAGATAGAGATGAGTTTACTTCTTTTCCAATCTGGATGCCTTTAGTTTGTTCTTTCTGTGATTCCATGGCTGGCAGAACTCCAAGCGGTGCTGAATGGAGGGGGGAGAGCAGGCGTCAGATTGCCCCTCAGGTTAGAGGGAAGCAGCCCTCCCTGGAGTGTGATGGCAGCTGTAGGTCTTCCGTAGATGCCCTTGCTCCTGTTGAACAAGGTCCCCTTTATTCCCGGTTTGTTCATTATAAATGGGTGTCGAATTTTGTCAAGTGCTTGTTTTACATCTGTTGAGATGATCATGTAGTTTTATTGTTTTTTTAAAAAATACTTTATTGAGGTAAGATTTACATACACAAAGCTGTACATGTTTAATGGTACAACCTGGTGAGTTAGATAAGCATAAATCTGTGACATCATCGCCACCGTCTGTGCCATAAACATATCCATTACACTCACAAGTTTCCTCCCACCCTCATTATTATTATTTTAACATTAAGTGTACAGTACAGCATTGTTAACTATAAGCATTGTGCTATACACATCTCTAGAACTTATTTACGTTGCGTAACTAAAACCTTGTTCTTTATTCTGTATCTTATTCATGCAACCTTTTTTTTTTTTATTCAAGGTCTTCAGTTTTGCTTGTGAAGCCTGCAAAAAGGTGATATTTCAGACACCTTCTACACTAGAGGCAGACAAAATGCTGGGCAGAGGTGAGCAATTTCAAAATGGTGTTTTTAGAACAGAAACGAGGTTTGCCTACCCTGGAAAGAGCAGCTTGCCCAATCGGTGCATTGTGGAATTAGCCTGCATATTTTAATTAGAGACAAGTCAAGATAATTTAAATATATGTGTCTACTCTTTATACCTGCACTGAATTGAGGTGAGTGCTAAGGTTCCAGGCCCTGTTTCTGTGGTCATTCAGGCTTCGAGGGTCTAACAATTACATGAAGACTTACATGTAGAAAGCCCTGCATCGCTGTAGGACTGCAGCTCTGGAGAAGGACAGGTAGGGCGCTGAGCGATCAGAGCAGGGTTATCAATGCTGGGGCTGCCTCCGGGAGCATGACAAGGGGAGCCACTCACTCCATTCAACACAGAACTTAGCCATTGGCATGCTGAGGAGTTAGGGAGCCTCAGACATTCCCAGCATCAGGGAAGCTTGGCCTAGGCCGACTTTCTCCATGGTACAGGGAATATTGGAGGAAAGTGTTATGATAGGTTTTTAAAAATATATATTTTATTGATTTCAGAGAGGAAAGGAGAGGGAGAGAGAGATGGAAACATCAATGATGAGAGAAGCATTGATCAGCTGCCTCCTGCACAGCCCATTCTGGGGATCGAGCCTGCAACCCAGGCATGTACCCTGACCCGGAATCAAACTGTGACCTCCTGGTTCATAGGTCGATGCTCAACCACTGAGGCATGCCAGCCAGTCATGTCATGATGTCTTAAAAAAAGATATAGCTCTTCCCAGAGATACCAAATAGTTTTTCAACAAAGTGCACCATTTCTGGTTATAGTGTCTCATTTACTTTTATTAAACAAACTAGAGGCCCGGTGCATGAATTCATGCACCAGTGGGGTCCCTCAGCCTGGCCTGCGGGATCGAGCCGAAACTAGCTCTCTGACATCCCCCTAGGGGTCAAATGCAGGAGTTTGGCCAGCTGGGGAGCCGTGGGAGGGCCTCAGGGCATGTCTGGCTCATCTCACTCAGTCCTGATGGGCCGGACCCCAGCAGCAAACTAACCTACTGGTCGGAGCGTCTGCCCCCTGGTGGTAAGTGCACATCATAGCGAGCAGTTGAGCGGCCTTAGCATATCGTTAGCATATTATGCTTTAATTGGTTGAACGGATGACCAGCCACTTAGCATGTTAGGCTTTTATTATATGGGATGTCACTGTTATTCCTATGGAGATAAAGAAAGGAGCTACTGTGGAGAGTGGCTAGGGGTGTTCCTCTTGGGAAAGAGACCGGAGCTTATCGCTGTGCTAAAAATGCGAAGAAGAGAGAAAGAGGTCATTGCTCCTAAAGACGGGCACTTCTTTCTGCCTGAATGCTCCCCCCTGCCTGGGGTGAGAGAGAACAGGATGTATGGGCAGCGTGGATTCTCTGCGAGGTTCCCACTTCAGTGAGGACTCGTTTACCAGCGTGGTTCTATGAAGGCAGCCAATTGAAGAATGGGGTGGATTTGATATTTTGATATAAGTATCAGAACACTTCAAGTGATACTTATATTTGCTTACTCTCTATTAGAGGGCAACATTTCCAGAGAAAGAAGACCCCATGTGGCCTTTTGGTGGGGAGTTTTGCAAAACTATGAACACAGAGGACTGTGAGCTCTGGGGGTGGGGGAGGGGATGGTGGGGGGCTGAGGGGAGTGTCACAGAGAAGTGCCCGTGGGAAGAATTCGAAGGTAAAGTTGACTGTTTTCCTTACTTGAATGTTTTCCTAACTCATACACTGCCTGGCTGGCTGTGTAGGCTGAAGACTGTTGTAAAAGACTCATAGTCAAGTGAGCGTCTGTTTACTGATTCAGGTGTGTGGGGGCGTGTAGCTTAGCTTTGTCATGCCTGCAGTACACACACCCCTTTCATAGGAAGATCCCCTTCCTAGCCTCTGAGAAGCACAGGAAATCTTAAAGCCCCCTCCTTCATACAAATATCCAATCAGGACTTATTTTAGATGAAAGAAGATTATCCTTTTAAAAATACACATGTAAAGAGACTGCGTAAGACATTTGTTACATGCACGGTGGTTGGCCTATTTCTGCCTCCTGGTTTTGAAGACGACTGTAGAAATCATTTTGCCACATTTTTTTCTGTTTGCATGCATTTCTACTTTTCAACATGGACATTTTTACTCGCAGTGAATTTGGGTGAGTGCCTCAGGTCTGCAGACCTCATCCAGTCCAGCGACCCTGACTTCAGAGTTCTCCGTGACGGGTCTGTCTACACGGCCAGTGCCGTTGTGTTATCTGATGGGAGGAGATCATTCACCATTTGGCTTTCTGACACGAAGAAACAGACACAAAAGGAGATTAATGTGCTCCTGGAGCCTCAGAAAAAGGTTTGGAAAGTGCATTGATATTTTCAGGCACGTCTTTCTTTTCATTTAAATATACATAGTTTTTAAATCCCAAAGAGAACCAAAGGATACATAGCATTTTTTCCTCTCCTTTTTCCTTACGTTGTGTGTACTTTCCCTTCCCCTCTCCCCTTTCTTAGCACTGCTAAAACCAGGATTTTGCTTTGTGGAATCTAAATGACACCTCCTCTGTGAAGACTTCTTCCACTGCTAAAGCCCAAGTAATTGCTTTTGTGAGCCGGTGGGAATTTGGCTTACCCTCTATTGCAACATTTTGAGTTATTTATTAAAAATATTTTTATTAATTTCAGAGAGGAAGGCAGAGGGAGAGAGAGATAGAACATCAATGATGAGAGAGAATCATTGAATAACTGCCTCCTGCATATCCCCATTGGGGATCGAGCCCACAACCCGGGCATGTGCCCTGGCTGAGAATTGAACCGTGACCTCCTGGTTCCTAGGTTGACGTTCAACCACTGAGCAACGCGGCCAGGCAACATTCAGTTTTTAATTAGTGCAAACAATTTACCTGTGGTTGTTTGAGGGCATGAATTGACCCGCTTTTTGCTGATAGTGTTGGTAGTGCCTGACCCATCCGTAGTCCATAGTGTGTGTGACATTAATGCTAAACGCTGTGGTTCTCAGTGACTATGAGGCTGGCTTCCAGTACCCACGGTGGTTCTGACGTTAGATAGGATGGAAACCTGGAGCATGATAAGTAGGAAAGGAGCATGCATGGCCTGGCATTGGCCTCTGCCCCTCTCCCCCCCCCAGGGGATCCCTCACTGCCGTTCTAGTGCACAGCCTGAGGAATGGAGTGGTCACAGAAAGGATGAAAGGTTTAGACTGGGTTACGACTCATCAATGTGAAGTGTGTTAGTGATAGAGTTAATTTAAGTATCGGCTTCGCACTTTAGTAAGTGTTTAATAATATTAATTAGTTAATTCTCAGGAAATAAAAGGTCTTCTTTGCTGTACATGAAATGAGATGGAAATCACTGTAACATCCCATGGACCTCTTTGCAGTGATGGAAATCCCATGGGACTGTCTGCCATGGCAGCCCAACGCTAATGGCTGCCGAGCAGTGGGCATGTGGCGTGTAACCAAAGGCTGGACTTTCATATTCTACTTACTGCTAATTAATTTACACTTAAATAGTCACATATGGCTACAGCAGGGCAGAGGGAGTGGTCAGGCAATGAGGTATATTCTTTTACTTTTGCTCTGGTTCACCCGAGCGTATGAGGTTTTAGCAGAAAGAACAAGTAAGAGCTGTGCAGGAACTAAGGGAGCCTTAGCCAGTTTGGCTCAATGGATAGAGTGTCAGCCTGTGGACTGAAGGGTTCCAGGTTTGATTCCAGCCAAGGGCACATGCCTGGGTTGTGGGCTCGATCCCCCGTAGGGGGCATGCAGGAGGCAGCTGATCAATGATTCTCTCTCATCATTGATGTTTCTATCTCTCTCTCCCTCTCTCCTCCTCTCTAAAATCAATAAAAATATATTTAAAAAGAACTAAGGAGACAGTGATGCTTCTGCTACTGGAGCGGTGGTCAGTCTTAGGAAGGTCTGCACAAGGAGATTCTCTAGTGTATGAAACCTTTACCATCTGCATACACTCTCTCGTACCCTCCTAAGGAAAAACCTTCTTATCTGGCCTTTAGCTTCTGTGTGGAAATTCTTGAGATTGACCCTCCAGGGAGGTGTCGGGTGTATGGGCTGTTTGTTATCTTACTGCAAAGTGGGTTGTGATGCTTCTGTGTGTTAATTTTCTTTCTCTAAATGCAGGTCCTGAGGAAAATTCACGCTAAAGAAACGGTGCTCCGGCGAGCCAAGAGGCGGTGGGCACCCATCCCCTGCTCCATGCAAGAGAATTCCTTGGGCCCTTTCCCTCTGTTTCTTCAACAGGTGGGTTTTGCATTCCTTCTGACTGGGCATGTTTTATTCCAAAAGCCTGTTTTATTCAAATTTAATAACTCTTTAAATGTTTTTAAAAAACCAGGTTTGATTGAAGATATTAATAAAGCCCTGAAGTGTAATAAAAGTGAGTAAAGTGAGAAAAAAATCAATAAAATCTACAATAATAAAACATAATGTGCTAATTAGACTGGACAGCCGAATGACCTTCCGGAAGTCCTTCCAGATGAAGCTGCTGTGGCGGAGGCCGAGCAGAGACGGTTAGGGGCGATCAGGCAGGCAGGAAGAGTGGTTAGGGGTGACTAGGCAGGCAGGCAGGTGAACAGTTAGAGACGATCTTTTCATGTGGCCATGCTTAACCCCTTCCCCAACAATTTTTTTGTTAAAAACGTTTCTTTTTCAGACTAATTTTTTTATTTTGGTTCTATATAGTATTTTTGATGCTGGTTATGAAAACAGTTTGTAATTATTTTTTCTTCCCATTTTTGTGGTTAAGAATAGTATTTCCTCAGAAAGTTTCTAGATGAAATTATTTAGAATGGTACGTATGTAGCTGGTTTTTGAAGGTAAAGTTTTAGACGAGTATACTCGTCGACGACTGAAAAAAGAACATTTTGTGAAAACGTGTATACACGTTTCTGCCGGGGAAGGGGTTTTAAAAGCAAGGGAGACAGAGAAATGTTTTTCTTTAGGGCAGCTTTGTGTTTGGCCATCACTTTTAATACAGTTTAACAAAGATTTTGGGGGGGGAATATTATTTTTTTAATTAAACTTATTGGAGTGGCATTGTTTAATAAAATTATATAGGTTTCAAATATACAATTCTATGATATATCATCGGCATATTTCATTGTGTTCCATTATTTTTTGGTTATTTTCTTTTTAAAAAAATTTATTGAATTTAATGGGTAACATCCATACTACTAAAAGGGTAATATGCTAATTAGACTGGATCAACCGGATGTCTTCCAGACATCCGGAGTCCTCCTGGACAAAGCCACGATGGCGGGGGCCAAGGCAGAGGTGGTTAGGGGAGATCAGGCAGGCAGGGGAGCAGTTAGGGGCATCAGGCCAGCAGGCAGAGGCGGTAATGGGCAATCAGGCCAGCAGGGGAACAGTTAGGGGCGATCAGGGCAGCAGGGGAACAGGCCAGCAGGCGGAGGCAGTTAGGGGTGATCGGGCAGGCAGACAGAGTGGTTAGGGGTGATCCGGCAGGCAGGCAGGTGAGCAGTTAGGAGCCAACAGTCCTGGATTGGAGAGGGTGCAGGCCAGGGTGAGGGAGACCCCCCGCCCCCCCAGTCCCCTGTGCATGAATTTTGTGCACCGGGCCTTTAGTTGGTTAATAAAATTAAATAGGTTTCAAATGTACAGTTCTATAATACATCATCTGCATATTGTATTGTGTGTTCACTACCCAAAGTCAAGTCTTCTTCTGTTACCATTTATCCCCTCTTTACCCTCCTCTCCCCATCCCCTTTTTTCCTCTGGTAATCCACTATATATATATACACCATTGTCTGTGTCTATGAGGTATTTATTTATTTATTTATTTATTTGCTTAATCCCTTCATCTTTTCACCCAGCCCCCAAACACCTTTTTAGCTGTCAGTCTGTTCTCTGTATCCATAGGTCTGTTTTCTGTTGTGTTTGTTAGTTTATTAGATTCTACATATGAGTGAAATCACAGGGTACTTGTCTTTCTCTGACTGGCTTATTTCACTTAGCATAATACTCTCCAGGTCCATTTATGCCACTGCAGAAGGTAAGATTTCCTTCTTTTTTTATGGCTGAGTAGTATCTTATTGTGTAAATGTACCGCTGGTTTTTTTTTTTTTCCCCCAAAGAGAGGAAGGAAGAAAGAGGGAGAGAAAGCGAAACATTGGTTGTTTGCCTCCCATACGCACCCCACGGGGAATCAAACACGTAACCTGGGTATGTGCCTTGACCGGGAGTCAAACTTGGCACCTTTTGGTGTTTAGGACTATGCTCCAACCAACTGAGCCACACTGGTTGGCCAGGGCAAGGACAGCTTTTGTATCCATTCATCTACTAAGTAGACATTAAGGGATATTAGCACTCTCTGAGATGCTGTCATCCTCAGCTTCTGTCTTTGCACCACACATCCAACCCACTGGCCAATCCTGTTGGTTGTATCTTGAAATTATATCCAGAATCTAACCACTTGTCACCACCTCTGCTGCTACTGTGCTAGCCTAGCAAACTATCACTTGCCCGTGCATTATTGCAGTAACTTTCTAAATGGTCTTCCTGTTTCTTCCCTATGCATCTATCCAAGTCTAGTTTTAACAATTATCAAGTGCTAGAGGCCCGGTGCACAAAATTTGTGCACTGGGGCGGGGGTGGGTGTCCCTCAGCCCAGCCTGCACCCTCTCCAATCTGGGACTACTCGGGGGATGTCCGACTGCTGGTTTAGGCTCTAAACCAGCAGTCGGACATTCCTCTCACAATCCGGGACTGCTGGCTCCCAACCGCTCGCCTGCCTGCCTGCCTGATTGCCGCTAACCACTTCTGCCTGCCAGCCTGATTGACGCCTAACTGCTCCCCTGCCGGACCAATTGCCCCCAACTGCCCTCTCCTGCAGGCCTAGTCCCCTCCAATTGCCCTCCCCTGCCAGCCCAGTCACCCCTAACTGCCCTCCTCTGCAGGCCTGGTCGCCTCCAGCTGCCCTCCCCTGCTGGCCATCTTGTGACCGCCATCTTTGACCGCATGGGGGCGGCCATCTTGTGTGAGGATGTGATGGTCAATTTGCATATTATCTCTTTATTATATAGGATTATCTTTTAAAAATATAAATCAGATATTATCTCTTCATCTCCAAGAAAAAGCCCCATTATTACTGCATTCCCTTCCATCTCCTTCTCCTTCCCCAGTTCCTGCAGCCACAGTGGCCTTGTTGCTGCTCTGAACACCCAGGCACAATCCCACCCTGTCTCATTGCACTTCCTGTTCCCTCCACCAAGAGGTCTTCCCTGTTTATTCTCACAGCTATTCTTTCCATTTTTGTCAGTTCCCCTCCTAAGGGACATTCCAATTGGCATTCCCTTCACCATACATGAGAGTCCCAGGTTGCCTCACTCTTGCCAACAATCGGTATTACTCTTCTTTTCTATCTTTGCCAAATCACAAAATATAAAATTCTGCCTATTGCTTGTAATTAGATTTTCTTTGGTTTCTGTTTGTGTTGAACATTGTTTGCATTAAATTTGAGCAGTTAAAAAAAAAATCTTTTGCCAAATGCTTTTACTGCTTTGTGTGTTGATGAAGTGACAAGTGATTGTTTTAGTAAAGTCGTCTCTTTAAAATAACAATATAAACACATAAGATGAATTTTTTAAACACTAGCATTTTAACAGAATTTAACTTTTTACATCTATCTTTTTCTTTTTAGGTTCAGTCCGATGCAGCGCAGAACTATACCGTCTTCTATTCAATAAGTGGACGTGGAGTTGACCAAGAACCTTTAAATTTGTTTGTCATAGAAAAAGACACTGGAAATCTGTATTGTACTCGGCCAGTGGATCGTGAAGAATATGATGTTTTTGATGTAGGAGTTTTATTGACATACGTGACTTTAAATGGTTAAACCATGTTTCTCCTGATACTCTGCTCTTTCCTGTCTTCTTGCATTCTCTTCTTAGAGGGCATGAAAGTAAAGAGATAAATTATGCAATATTTTGGAATACTTTCTACTTTTTATGTCAACTTCTGTTGTTGATCAAAACGAAGCAAACAGCTTTAATTGTATTTGAATGTAAATTCCAGTAAGTTCCCAGGAGTTGTTTTTGCTCAGGAGATACAGCCCTCTCTCTGGTCGGGGTATGATTTCCTCTCTCCGGGACATGGCCACGGTCTTTCCTCTTCTGCTCTAACTACTTCCCTTGTCTTCCTTCCACTTGTAAGCTCACTGGTCATATCTGAGTACTAGCTACGAAAGCAAAAGTCAGAGACTAAACCCAAACAAGGTAAATAAGCCAGCATTCTGATATGGATGAGCTTACAGTCCCTGGGGAATAGCTCAGACAGTTTTCAGTGTAACAGGGTAAGTGCTGTGGGGTCATGTGGTTCCATGCGGTGCAGGGACTATGATTCCCCATAAAAAAGGGATGTTCTTCCTAGAAGAAGGAAGAGATCTGGGTGAACAAACGTGACTGATGTCCACCACATGACATTTCTTAGTTTTTGGTTAGAAAATGATCAACTCAGTGTTGTAATCACATGCTGAATCGCAATATATTCTATTTGGCATTATAATACCTTTAATTACACAGCAACACAGAAACTGGTAAATGGATTTTGTTAGAAAAACTCTTAAAATACGTGATCTATGAGGTAAGACAGTACAAGGGCGTGGTAGTGTCAAGACTGGAAACCACTGCTTTATGTAGGTGAAGTAGGGATTTTTCCCATTCCCCTGAGTTTGTCTTCTCCAGCACAGCTTTCGATTATGGAGTGAATACAGACTGTAACCCAAGCCTCTTATTCACCTTTAACTTCTCAGTCTAATCTACATGACTTCACTGTACTCTGAAACTTTATTTGAAGTGTAGACATTTCTACCAAATGCTGGGTGGTCTTTATTTAAAGCGTTTCTCCATTTGATACTTCGATGATTAAAAAAGCACTGAATAGAAATTAAGTGGTTTATTCTTGAGAATATTTGTAAGGTAGGCAGTGGACAGAGTGTAGTATTCTCTCTCGCTAGAATGCTAGAATCTTCTATCAACAGCACTGACCTCGCTTCTCCTGTTTCCCAGCTCATTGCCTATGCGATAACTGCAGACGGGTACTCGGCCGACTTACCTCTCCCGCTGCCCATCCGAGTGGAGGATGAGAATGACAACCACCCCATTTTCACGGAGCAAGTTTATAAGTTTGAAGTTCCAGAAAGTAGTAGACTCGGTAAGACGATATTTTTTGGGGGAACTTTTTTGTGAGTGTTTTCGTTGGCCATTTGTATTACTCTTTTATGAAATGTATGTTCATTTCCTTTGTTCTTTTCTATGTTACCTAATTATTTATTAATCTACTTAAAAGTGTTCTTTACATATTAAGGATATTAACTTGTCACCTTGCAAATATGTTCTCAGTCAATTGTTTCTTTTCAGTTTTATTAAAGCTCCTTTATGCTGTAGAATAGTTCAGGTCTTTCATTCAGTTAAATCTATCCATATTAGACCTAGAATAGCCTTTTCCCTTCAGACTTTAGGGTACATTTAAGAGTAAAATATATTTTGTTAAATATGTTTGTGTACATTTTTTGAGATATCAAGTTTTTTATATTTAAGGCCAATCATCCCAAGATGATATTGAACCAGTATCTATTCATAGAATATGTTTAATCCCATCACACACAAACAATGAGTATCTTAGAGGATATTATAGGATATTTTGTGTTAACAATATGATACCAATTACTTCTAAAGGCAGATGACAAGTTATTCAAGCTATGTACCGTATTTGGTTTATATACTTTATTTCATCTTATCAGTATGTGGGTTTATCAATATTCTCACCTCCAAGCAGAGGACATGCAGGGAAGACTGTACAATAAAACTAAAGTCAATATAGATATGTGTATTAGGTTTTATTTAGGGAGGTGTTGAATGACAGCCACTGGTGATACAGTTTTTTAAAGCTCTTATTTCTACTGTTTCTTCTCTTAAAACTACGACCTTATTATTTCCACCATCATTGTTAAAACTCAAAAAGTCCAGATACCCCTAAGCATACTTAACAACGCTGGAAACTAAACACTCTTTTTTATACACCAGGTACCACCGTGGGGGTGGTCTGCGCCACAGACAGAGATGAACCCGACACGATGCACACGCGCCTGAAGTACAGCATTTTGGAGCAGACGCCCAGGTCGCCCGGGCTCTTCGCTGTGCATCCCTCCACCGGCGCCATCACCATGGTGGCGCAGTATCTGGACAGAGAGGTAGCCTCCTCGCTCTGCGGGATGTCTTTCTGCCCGGGGCCGAGGCCCCTCTTCTTCCCCACCACTGTACTTGGCTCTTGCTTGGATTGAGTTCTAATTTTGTTTTATTTCGGAATAAGATAGTAAGAATTCCTGGCTGTGTTACCTGTGTTATATAGGACTTCTATTTCTTGAAGGAAGAGAAGCCATAAGGAATAGAAATACCGGTCAACTGGTATTTAGAAGGTGTGGGAACAAAATCTATTTCTTATGAAAGTTATTATTATCAGTATTTTTTTCTTGCGTGTGTCTAGTGGGTTCTAGCTCAGATAAGGATTCAATTCTTGGAAAGGACAATTTGTTTTGTTTAACTCCTGAGGATAGCCCGTACCCTGATCCCTATCCAGTTATAGATATGTTTTTTTCTTTTTTAAATTTGATAGTTGAAAGTGTTATGTACTTTTTATCTAGAAAGGATTATTGGAGGTAAGGTTTATTAAAAATATGCAACATTATTTGGATACTAGTAATAACATATTGTGATATACAGTGGGGCCTTGACTTACGAGTGTCCTGACAAACAAGTTTTTCAAGATACGAGCCGTCTCTTGGCCAATTTTTTGCTTTGGGTTGCGAGTTAAAATCCAGGTTATGAGCCAGCTCCAGATACCCCACTGCTAGTTGGCACAGCGAACGTCACAGTGAATGCCACAACATCAGCCCAGCATTCAATTCATTGTAATGGTTAAAATTGATTTGACATATGAGTAATGTAAATTACAAGCTCTGTCACGGAACGAATTAAACTCGTAAGTCAAGGCCCCACTGTATATAGTACTCTATAGTCAAATTCTTTATGCATAATTTTATTTGATTTTTATAATTTCCTTGTTTGACTGGACAGGTATTACATTCAACCTATAAGGAAAAATGTGACAGTCGGAAAGATTGATTGACTTGATTTTGTTAGCCTATATCTAACTAGGTCAACAAAATCATTATTGACTGAGCTGATTAATCAACTTCATATGTAAAAATAGCTTTATTGGAACACTTACATGCTTCCCACTGCAACTAGAATAACAAATATAAGGACCGATATGACTGGGAGAGATATTAAAAAGAAGACAACGATGTGATATGACGCTAAAGAAAAAGGGAGGGATACTGAGAACTTTTAAAAAGGAATCAAAAGTAGAACAGAGGTTTCATTAATTTTTTTAATGCATTTGTGGGGCTAGAGATTTTTATGTGCTAAAGCACATAATGGTAATAATAAATGGGAAAGTTTGAAGGGAGCAATATGAACATATTTTTGTGTCAGTGTAATATGTAGAGATGATGTGCTAATTAAGTGAAAACAAAGATTTTTCCCAATGTTTCAGATTGAAAAATGAGACTCAGAAAAGATAATTTAAGGATATGAAGCTTATAAGATACAGCTTTGGGGGGGGAGGGGGGTTGGGCATCAAACCCAGGTCTGCTTGCCTGATCAAAAAATTAATCTAACAGGATTGTGTGGGGAATAACACGGGAAATAAAGAAATGAACAAAGAGGTAAAGACACAGTGCCATCAGAGGAAGGAGAGACAGGCTCGCAGAGTCCCGGAGCCTCTGGATGGAGCATTTGGCTGGGAATGTTGACTAGTGTGGAGGGAGATAACTAAAAGGAACCTGGAGATGAGACAGAGGGAAATAGAAAAAGAAGAAAACTTAACATAATCAGTGGCTGAAGCAGTTAGGAGAGAAAGGCAGCAGAGATGGTTGTGTCACAAACTAATGACTCCATTTCATCTTCAACGCACCGTCTGTGAAACTCCATTCCCGGAAGTCACCATGATCTCCTAATTGCCAAGGCCAACTTACCTTAAGTCTCTGTTGCCAATTACTGAAACTCTCATTCCTTCGATTTCTTGTTTTTCTCCTGCTTCTTTGGTCTTTTGTGTTTGGTATCCTTTGCTTAGTCTTCTTTCCCCTTTATATCCTCAGCTGTTGAAATGCGATTGCTCCTTATATCCTCAAATCTTCTCATATTCAACCTCTTCTAGATATCTGATTCCTGCCATAATTTCAACCACCATCTACACACTGGTGATTCCCAGATTGGTACTCCTGGCTATGATCTCTCCCTTAAGTATGGGCCCCACACCAAGGTGGCTTCTGGCCCTCTCTCCTTAGATCTCCCAGAGGCATGTAAAATTCAGGATATGCCAAAGAAAACTCATTGTTTTTGCCCCTCCTTGCGAACTTGCTAGCATTCACTTCCTCAGAGAATGCCTCTTCTTCTGAATTTTCTGTATGGGTTGGTGATACCCATGTCTGCCTATCTATCCAAGTAGGACACCTGCGCATCATTGTCAATCCTTCTTTCCCTCTTCACTTGTATCCAGAATCTGCTCTAATTATGACTCCCACCTAACTTCCCTGTCACCTTTATCCTCGGTCCTCACTGCTACTGCCTCAGATTAGAACCACGCGTGTTAGACTAGTTTAGGAGTTCTTTAACTGGTTTCTTTGGCTTCCAGATCAGCTTACTGAAAACTTTGCTCAACTTCCTTCAATAACATTCTTTCAAAAAACTCAAAATGCTTTTAAATTGTGCTACCTCTGTGACTTCAAGAAAACCTTTCTCTACTACCTGCCATGTAAAGCATACGTCTACCGTTACAGCGGTCGGTTCCTAGAGGTCTGTAGGGCACTGGGCTTTTTGAGGAAGATGGGAAGCTACTGGAGCAGTGGTTCTCAACCTTCCTAATGCCGCGATCCTTTACTACAGTTCCTCATGTTGTGGTGACCCCCAACCATAAAATTATTTTCGTTGCTACTTCATAACTGTAATGTTGCTACTGTTATGAATCGTCATGTAAATATCTGATATGCAGGATGTATTTTCATTGTTCGTGACCCACAGGTTGAGAACCGCTGTCAGGAGAGTTTCAAAAAAATAAAATGAAGCATAAGTCGAGCCTGGCTAGTGTGGCCCAGTGGTTGAGTGTTGACCTATGAACCAGGAGGTCATGGTTCGATTCCCAGTCAGGGCAGATGCCTGGATTGCTGGATCTATCCCCAGTAGGGGGCAGGCAGGAGGCAGCCAATCAATGATTCTCTTTCATCAGTGATGTTTCTCTCTCTCTCTCCCTCTTCCTTCCTCTCTGAAATCAATCACAATATATTTTAAAACATAAGTCTAAATTCTTAGTATAACTCTTTATAATTTAACCTGTGCTTACCTTTTCAGCTTTATCCCTGTCTACCAAGTTCTTAGAGTACATGCAGATGTGGAAATAAAAGCATGAATACACACAAATAGAAGAGTATACAATTAAAATTTAATTTATAAATCTAAATAAAGTTGTAAAAAACTAATTAAATATTTGCTTTGTTTTAAGGTTGTAGACAAGTACAAATTGATAATGAAAGTACAAGATATGGATGGTCAATTTTTTGGATTGGTGGGCACATCGACTTGCCTGATAACAGTAGCAGATTCAAATGACAATTCACCTGTTTTCAAACAAAGTACTGTAAGTATATTTCCAAAATCTATCCCTGTCTGTTAGCATTTGTTATTTGATCTGAATTAATAAATATTTATCATGCCTTGAAATATATATGCTTATTTTTTAATAAAATTAAATAGTAGATACATAAATCTATCTTATTTGTTCATAGTATTATTTATATTACTGACCTCTTGTTAAAGATCTGTAACATTAGTCTTCATTGGTGAAGAAATTCTTTTCATTCAAAAGATGTCTTCATGAAACAATACTATTTGAGATTCATAGTTTTAAAATAATCTAGGGAAAAATTATAAGAACAAATACTTTTGGGGTAGAAGATATATTTTACTTTTATTGTAAATGTTTTCTTTATACAATATTTTTAATGAGTCCTTTCCATTTCAGTATGAAACATCAGTAGAGGAAAATACATACAACATGGAAATCTTACGACTACCTGTAGAAGATAAGGACTTAGTGAACAGTGCCAATTGGAGAGCCAATTTTACTATTTTGAAGGGCAATGAAAACGGGCATTTCAAAATCACCACAGACAAAGAAACTAACGAAGGAGTTCTGTGTGTTGTAAAGGTACAGTCATAATAGATAATGGACAACTTGGCAAGTTAAATTTTATAAACTAATGGTCTAATCAACTAAATAGTTTCAGTTGAGGGAACGTAGTCCCTTTAGTCCTACTGTACCCATCGAATGCCCGCCTTTCTTCTATAATTTATTTGCCAGTTATTAGTCACCTAACTTACGCTTGAACATGCTCAAGTATAAGGATCTCCATACCTCGATGGGCAGCTTATTCCATACGTAGAGAGCTCTGATTCCCAGAAGTCTTTACTGTGCTGTGCCTACGTTACTCTCCTTATATCCTATGTCTGTGACCTGCGTTTTGTTGCTAACCCTACACAGAACAGGTACCATTCTATTGAAAAAGCCATTATGTCCACTTGAGCCTTACCTTCTCTAAGATAAACATCCCCAGTGCCCCTTAACTATTCATCCCATGAAACATTATCAGTAAAAAGTGAATAATCATGATCTCCCCCTCCTTAGTAGCTATTCAATTTAATAATGAAAATGAAAGCATTTGATAAACTATAGGCTATTATAAATACATTTACAAATATTAACACGATCTATCTATAATTTTTCATAAAAAGATGACTTTCGTCTTTAAAGAAAAGATAACTTTTCTGGAACCGTCAAGCATGATTTAGCTGAATCCTGGGGAAGCTTCCCATCTCAGTGTTTGTTTGCTTGTTTGCTTCTGTGGCAGGAGCAGCAGCAGCGCATGTGGGTTTGAGTGAGGAAACTATTGTTCTGTGTTCCTCTCAACATAGAGGACATTTCACTTCAGTACAACACTTGCTTTCTAGGGAATTGTTAGTATCTCAGTGCAGAATTAAGCTATTTTTTTAACAATTTATTTCAATTGATGAAACAAAAAGACACCCTATGGTGGAAGAGAACTTAATGCTTTTTTCATTAATCATTGATTTCATCCCAGCAGATTGCTGATCTCGCAGAGTTTTAAGCCACTAAGATAATAGCCGGCCGAAGCCATGAAAAATGACATAGAAGTTGGGGAGGCTTTTGCTTTATGTAGCAGGTGGCTCTGGCTGGAATAACTGCACCTCCTCCGGGTAGCAGCTGTCGCCTCAATTTCCATCTCCTTCTCTTTGTCAGCAGGTGCTCCGCCTGTCTGCACGCTCATCCCAACACATGTAATTTGTGAGATGACGTTCATTAGCAACAAATCAACAGATAGTAACTCATGGTCCCCCTTGACTCTCTAGTTTCTGGGCTAGACATAAAAATCAAAAGCATTTCACTTGCATTTTGCAGATTTTATGATTCCGAAATTTTCTTGACTTCTTAATGGACTCCTGATGTTAGTTTCACAGTCTAATACCTAGGTGTGGGGAAAGGTTTGAAACAAAGATGTTACTCATGAGTTTTGACTTTGTTCCATGTTCAACCATGATTTTTTTTTTTTTTACTTTTTCACTGAATTTATTAGAGTGACATCCTATATAATAAAAGGCTAGTATGCAAATTGTCCCCTCGGGCGGGAGTTCGACCAGGGGGCGGGGTTGGCTGGCCAACCTCCTGCGTGCCCTCCCCCCAGCCAGCCTGGCCCAATCGGCCCTGATCTGGGCAGGCCGGCTGGACCTCACCTGTGCACAAATTTGTGCACCAGGCCTCTAATTGGTTAATAAAATGATATAGGTTTCATGGGTACAATTCTATGATGCATCATCTATATATTGTATTGTATGAGTCTCCTTCCATCCCCTTTTTTTTAGCTACATCCTTCACCTCCCTTCCCCTCTGGTGATCACTGTTCTCTGGGCCGTGTCTATGAGTTTGTTTTTTTCTTAATCTCTTCACCCAGCCTTGCAACCCCCATCCCCTCTGACAGCTGTCTGTCTGCCCTCTGTATCTATGAGTCTGCCTCCACTTTGTTAGTTTATTTTGTTTATTAGATTCCACATATAAGTGAAATCATATGGTACCTGTTTTTATATTTAAATAGAAGATCCTATGAATAAGTGCCCACTAATGTCCTTTGCTTTTAAGTGGGTCCTTTTGACCCCCAAAATGTTATGTGAGATCCGAAGTCAGTAGGTCACCCATTCTGTAAGCACTTGGATAATAGTGCTGGCTGAGGTCCTGCAGGAGAGAAAGGCAAACCCATGTTGGGAATGTGTTGATTTCACAAGATAAATTACTGCATCTTCCAAAGTGAAAAAAGTCTAATGTAATCAACCTGGCACCAAGTTGGTCTGGAGGGGTAGAGCCACATTGGGGTCTCAGTGTTAGTCTTTTATTGGCAGGTTTGGACTTTTTACAAAAGCAATATTTTACACAGCTTTGGTGAGTGGA